TTTGCTTTTGGAATTATATGGCAAAGTGAAAACTATGAATAAGAATTTCTGTAGATAAGAACTGTTCACGTCCCACTAACTTTAGAATACAGTATAATATAATATGTAAATTGTCAAGTCTTTTATGGAACATTCTTGTGTTTTTTTGCTAGTCTCTGTCCTTTCTTCCTGCAATTTTCATGGAATAAAATCACGCTGCTATCTAGTTATATATGAATTTACTCATCGTAAACACATTATTTATTCTCTTTCTCCACCTGGGTGTCGTTGGATAAGAAAGCATCTGAAATATGAAACGACAAAGGAACTATCTTTGCCATAATTTATCATCCTGTGTAGTGATATGATCTTTTTCCCTGAAATATGAAACAAAAAAGGAACTATTTTTGCCATCATTTATCTTCCTGTGCAATGCAGGAATGTGCTGCTGCTTTTGTCTTTTTCAAGACTCGTTATGCTGCAGTTATCGCATCAGAAGTTCTTCAGTCATCAAACCCCATGTCGTGGGTCACTGATTTGGCTCCCGAACCGCATGATGTTCATTGGTCAAATCTTTGGATACCATATAGACAACTTTGGTTTCGCCGTATAGCTACTCGTCTTGCTAGCATTGTTTTTATGTTTTTGTTTATAGTTCCTGTCACATTTGTTCAAGGGCTTTCTCAGCTGGATCAGTTGCAACAAGCATTCCCTTTTCTTAAGGGTATACTGAAAAAGTAAGTACCATATAAATTTGTGTTTAATTTCCATTTACTCTGAGTTATTCGAGGTGGCTTCCAATTATAGCTTGTACCATTTGAGAATGCATTTTGAACTTTAGAACAGATAAATCTAACATCGCCATTGGTCAATTCTTTTCAGTTATAGGAGTTAGGAAGAATTATGATATTTTGAAACTTTGAAACTTTGAAACATGAACATACTATTTCTTGTACCAAGAGTTCTATTAACATTCATTATTTTGTATGTCACACCTCATCACGGCTATGAAGCACAAAGGCTTAGGGAAAAATAATTACCGAGTTCTACAGTTTTCTTTCTATATTGACAATCCTCTGTTTTGGTGCCAAAATCCTGAATGATAAAGCTATGACCGTGACAGAGTCTTCCATTAACTCCTAGAAGGACAGTGAACAATATTTTTGTGGCTGCAATTTATGCTCCTGAAAGCAAGCAGCAACTTTCCTAGATCAGGAAAGAAACTTGAAAAATGGGGAAAAGATTATGATTTTCTAAGGGTAACCATATCGTACTTTATGATACAAATTAAAGACATTGGACCAGTATAACAATCTGTGACAATTTGAACATTGTTTTCCTTTTACTTTTCATGCAAGTAAAATGTTATAAAAGCATGTTTATTAAGTAACGTCATTACTGTAACCAACAATAGACATTTAAATATAATAAATTTTTCAAATGAGAGTCCATTAGTATGTTTGGCATATTTAAAAAGTTAAGATTAGATCTATAAATCATCAAAATTGACCGCAAATCTATCAGTGTAGTGTAATGGTCAAGCAATTTCAATTGTGAATTGTATGATCAACTCATACATACGGATATTTGGATCCAGATATTTCACTTATGTATCAGTATTTGATCCACACCTTATTGAATATACATATCCTGCTGGATTAGAATGTGGATATATTCATCTTTGCATCCCTAGTTACTGTAGCGACCTCTCTTTTTGAATGGTTTCTGGTTAATCACAGGCCAAAGGCAGAGCATTTTATCCTGGTTCTTGGAGTTGTCTGTACATTTTTTCTCCCTTTAGCTCTCTATGAATCATTTTAGTCAGTTGAATTTAGCAGTATTTACATCTTCAATCATTTAATCAGTTTGTTTTAATCTGTAGTCTACCACAGGCCTTAACAAAATCTTTTGCTACAATATAACTTGTGAATCCATTTATCACCTTAATGCTTGCCCAACAACCTAAAAGATCTTTCTTCTTTATAAAAACAGGAGAAAAGTTCAGCTACATTCAAATGTTAAACTGTTTTTTAGATCTTTTGAAATTCTTCAACTATTGGTCTCAATCCTCACGTTTGGTAATTCGCTTAGCTCTTCGTGGTGCCATTATTGTATCAGAATCAAGGGACACATTTTTTGTTGCTATAAACTTCCTACTATGCATTGTATAAATATGCTCAAGTTCACCCTTTGCTTGTATTACCTTCACTGCTGTGTTTCACCAGTAACAGTACCACGTACAGATCAAAGGATGTTCATGGTTTCTTCAGAAGCTTATATCTTTGGTTTTCTACAGGAAATTTATGAACCAGATAGTGACTGGCTACCTCCCTAGTGTAATTTTTGTGCTATTTCTTTATACTGTCCCTCCAACTATGATGCTGTTTTCTACTTTGGAAGGATCGTTCTCTCGCGGTGGCAGGAAAAGAAGCACATGTTACAAGGTCTTGTATTTTACTATATGGAATGTGTTCTTTGCCAATGTCTTATCTGGATCTATTATCAGCCAGCTAAATACCATATCGAGTCCGAAGGAAATACCTACACAGCTTGCCAAAGCTGTCCCAAGGCAGGTGATTGCTATAGTATGGTAATGATAAATGATACGTTAGAATTTTTAGCTAGGCTTCTATGCATATATTTTTTAATAATCTTAGTGACAACTGAGTGTTGAGTGCTATCTGTGAATGGAAAAGGCTTGTATCGTTATAGATGAGTAGATGATCTGTTTTCTCCAACTTTTCAATGTATAGTTGTATTCTTTTGACATAGAAAAAGTGTTACGTCCTCTATTTCCCTTTAGCAATGTCTGATGATCTGTTTCTTGATGGATACAGGCTACTTTCTTCATCACTTATGTTTTGACCTCAGGATGGGCAAGTTTATCCTCGGAAGCAATTCGGCTCTTTTCTCTCATATGGAACTTCACAAAGAAATACATATTTGGAAGAAAGAATGATCCTACCTCTGTCCCGTCATTTCCTTATCACACTGAAGTTCCAAGAGTTCTCCTGTTCGGACTACTTGGTTTCACTTGTGCAATACTGGCACCTTTAATATTGCCTTTTTTGCTGGTGTACTTCTTGCTTGGTTACGTTGTGTATCGCAACCAGGTGAGACTTAAAATGATATGAGAAGAATTGCTGAATATAATCATAGCTGTAAGTTATATCTTTGATGCATCTAACAGTAATCATGTGGAATACTAATTCCTTTTTGAGTATGGTATTCTTTTTTACACTTTTAATGTAATATTTTTTTTTGAAAATTTTATTGTGTTCTGGAACAAATATAATTGTTTTAATCAGATATCTTTAACTGTCTTTCTGGTTGTCAGATTAATCAAGTGATCTAGTAACAACAGACATCATGCTATTGCTCTAAATTAGATGTATGCTATTACCTTATATTTCCTATTTCTTAGTATAAACAGTTTTTTCATTACTCCATTCCCATTTAGTGTAGGAAACTACTTTTGTAAAATCCAACTGAGCAGCAAACATCTATATCTACTTAGGATTGACTTCCTGTAGTTAATAGGGGAGATTTTGTGTCCAGTTTGCATTCGTGATCAAGCTTTGAGCAGCTTCTTTTATGATGGTACTTCAAGAGGAGACAGTAATATAAGTTTTGTGCACACTTCTTTAATCATGGTGTTTGCATGATAATGATATTTTGGCGGTCATGAATTTGTGGAAAGTGCTGGTTGGAAGGAATGTACAAGCGGCATAAATCATCTGCAATCAAACTAGGTGTTAATCTGGGTTTTACTACATTCATTCATGTAAATGTAGCAGTAGGTGGCATTGATTATCTGAGGGTCAATACAGGTACTAAGCTTTTCTGTAGCATGGGAATAGATTAACTTGTAACTAGGAGCCCTAGCTCAATGTCAATCTTTGAGAAAAGTTGTGATCTATTTCTCATCACATTTATGGAATTTTAACTACAGAACTTTTTCCTTTTAACGTACTTTTTGGCGTATTCTTTTAACATAGAGCGATACAATATTTCAAGAAATTGAAAGAATGTTACAATGCAAGAGTTGACATGTAAAGATTGACTGACTACCCTGCAGGGATTTTTTTTTGGTCGGTATAAGATTCACTCTTCTATAAGATCCACTATTCTATAAATTTTGTTTCTTGTATTTGCCTGTGTATTTATGTGTAGGTAGAATTCCGTGTGCCTAAGATCATGCACATAATGTTGCCTACATCCTATTGTTCTATGCCATGTAGATCCAATCCAGTTGCTATTTCCTATTCTTTTTTTTGCGTGTGTGTTTTTGAGGTCATGCATGTCATGTTTCCTGTGGGTCAGAATGTTATAGGTCATATGGATGTGTGCGGGTGGGTGGATAGTAAGGGATGTCGGTGTATGGATGTCTTTTAGGCCATAAAATCTCGAAAAAGTTGCCACTTATGTGCATGTGTTTGGGTATAGTTGTGCTGTCAATGAACGTGTATCTGCATGCATTTTCAGAAGTATGCATATCATTTTAATTGGATCTGTAATTTAAATGTCTCATAGATTTTAAGTAAACAGATTACTAGAAAGGAATTACTTGGCTGTGCTTTCTTTAAGAGATGTCTCTGTTATGCTCTAGGAAAAGGATTGTTTTATTCTCTCCAATGTGCAAATCCCATTCTGATATCAGACCAAATTCAATATTCGTGAGCCTCCATAACCATTTAAATTTAAGATTGATGCATTATCGATCCAAAGAGTACACTACTGTTCAGTTTTTGAATTGAAATATATAAAGGAAACAGATGAATGGATTTAATTTCCTTTTTCATGATGTGTATTTGGTTTAAAGTTTATGAACCTAATAGGCCTTAGAGCTACCAGGATTCATTGAACTGATGCCCAGTGTCTATCTCTATAAATTTTTTTTTACTGATCTTTTTTTGGAATTTAATTATCTAACTGATCTGTTCTCTTGGTTTACCACTGATCTGTTCTCTTTTCTTCTGCAGATTCTTAATGTCTATGTCTCAAAATATGAGACCGGGGGAAGAATGTGGCCTATTGCTCACAACACTACAATCTTCTCTTTGCTGTTGGCACAGATAATAGCTCTGGGTGTTTTTGGGGTAAAGAAATCACCGGTTGCATCTGGTTTTGTTATCCCACTTCTGATATTTACCCTCCTCTTCAGTGAGTACTGCAGACAGCGGTTTCGTCCTATTTTTGAGAAATTTTCTGCTCAGGTAGGTTGAAAATCATATTTTCGTCTTGCACATTATAGTAGTATTGGTTACTTGACCATGCACATGATGATACTCTTCCAGTATGTTCACAGAGATCGACCTTTACAGGAATAAATTTTAAAAATATATCTTAATAATTTTCCATCCTGTTATCAGTTCCTGTTCCGTTTGATGTTTCAACCTCTAATCTTACACGTTCCATCTGTTTCTTTAGGCCCACTCTATTAGAATATGCATGCTGATTGCTGTGTTTTCATCCACGAGAATCACACTTTGCTTGGTAGTTCCACACCTTCAATGAATAGTATCGTGATTTCTAGCTTGCTTATTCTGATAAAAGTACCCTGTCAAATTGTAATAAGATGAAGTGTAGTTTTCTTCTTCTACCTTTTCCATACGCATCTGTTATTTTCATATTCTTGTGGGGATAGGATCTCATTGAGATGGACAAAGAAGATGAGACATGTGGGAGGATGGATGAGATTCACCAGCAATTGCAGTCAGCCTACCGTCAATTCTCCCCAGACAGTGACTCCAGTGAATCAGCTGAAGATGATGGTTCAATTGCCAGGGATGTTGATGTTAAAGATTGTTCTAATTAGGATTTGGAAAATGAGCTGTACCATCCTGCTCTCAGTTCTGTCCCTCCCCACGAGTTTATAACAAGTCGTCAAGTCCGTGGAATTACTTGCACGTGTCCATAGTAAAACCTCATCAGTATAAAATGAAAGGTTTTTTTTTTTTTTTTTTAGAATATATTTATTGATTTATGTACATCTATCGTCATTTTTCCTATTCATAAATATGGTCGAGTTCCTTGTACACATATATCAATCAGCATTTACCTAGGCGGTTAGTTTGCGAGTAAGGTGGCTATAGTAGATGATTTTTGGAGACGTGAAATGACTGATTATATACCGGAATATACAATTTTATTGCCTAGAGCAAATATGTATGGTTCAGTAAATTCAATTCAATCTTGTTAGCTACACATAAAATTGAGCCGTGTGTATTATTGTTTTGGTGGTCATTTCGTACGTTGTGAAGTTCGATAATCTATTTTCTTCTCCCATGAAGTTAAAGTCACCCCCATTTAAAGGGGCATGTTAACCTGAATAGATTAAGAAGAGGGTTCTTCCCAAAAAATGGAGAGGTTTAATGAGTAACTATGATATGCATCTCTTAATGGGCTTTTCTTTCCCGTTTTCTTTTTTCTTGTTAAAGCTTTGAAACTTTTCCAACTTTTACCAGTTCAGCTAGGCCTCATGACTAGAGGCTACCAGGACTCAGTCTTGCAAAATTAGCCATATTAATTCCGATGCCTTACTTACAATTGAATCGTACCTTGGCAAAGTGATGGAGAGACTTGTGGCAACTTGAGAAATTATCTAGTTGGTACTTTATTACTTTGCTTAGCACTTCAATGATACTGATATAATACGGTCAGCCCAAAGAGTTGAAAGTGTTCGGGCAAAACTAAGTTCGGATGGAGAAAAGACCCGTTTGGACATTTAACGTTGGGGCTGTCTTAGATCCAACAGTCGTCGAAACAGTTTAACCCGTCCCCAAAAGTAATTTTTTTCCTTTTTTAAAACCCTTTGATCAGAAATTTATCTAAACAGTTTAAACAATTTGGCTAGTGTTTTCTCCGAGCGGCTTGAATTGTTATGAGAACCATTTGGGTTGTCTGTATTTATAGCAGTGATCGTTCTACTATCGACTAATGGTTAAATAAGAGATTGCGTATAGGAACACTCATTAATTAGAGGAGGTAATTATATTATAGTTATCATTGTGCATTAAGAAACTTCACATAATGGAAGTGCCTAATTTATTTTTACTGCAACATGACGAGAGTTGCTCAAGATTTGATTTTACATCTCCTGTGAGAATTAGACACACCGGTCAACTGAGTTATTCAAGACGTTTTCTTTGAACGTGATAGTCTCAAATCCTACATTCTCATCACAAGTTTGAGACAATAGCATTCATTTGTCTAAAACTGTGTTATTACTCTATGCACAAAAGTTGGTTAACTATACAAACATGTGTCTGAACACCATGAACCTTTCACTGATAAATTAATGCTTGTGAGGTGATTTTCACATCATAAGAATATGCTAGGAGTCATCAAATCTTTTAAACTTGGGCCACAATCATCTCACCTATCGTTTACTCCTTCCATCTTAACCATAGTTTCTTACGCCATTTCACGTGTCATTTTCTGATTGGCTCGCCTTCCTTTCGCATGACACATATAACTAATGTAATAATATTAACCTCCTATCTGTTTGTCGTTATGTTGTTAATTAATCATCAAGTAATCCAAAGATATGGAACAAACATAACAGGCTATTATCTTAATCACGACGTAGAGAAGGAGATATTCCATTTAACTATCTTTATCCTTCTATCTCTCTTCCTTTGACAGCTCAATCAGAGCCATATCAACTCTTTCTTCTTGGAAGGAGAATCATTAAGAGGAGGCTTTCTACTGTTTAATTAATTAATTTATTAATCCTTAGTTGATACCAATAATATGCCAACATGCAATAGAATAAATTTAAGTGTGAGTTAGCTGAGACAAAGCTAAACAAAATGTTCAACATAGTGACTATCACTGTCACTGAATTTAAAAACACTAACAAGGGGGTCCTTTGAGATTACAAGAATAGATTAAGGGAGAATTGATGTTGGCTTGTGTTTTGTCTTAGGGCTTGGGCAAACCTCAGTTAGGATGTCTTCGTTTGGTGTGGGATTAATTTAAGGCTATTGAGTTGATGGGATGTGATCTGAACTTGTGAAGGGTTGACGTTTTGCGTGGGACTCTTTCTATTGTAACTCTACTAGGTTTAGGATATTCTCATAACTTTACAGTCTTTGTCATCTTGGCTTCAGAAATAATAATATTGTAGTATTATATATTCATAACATGGGCTGCTCAGATAATAATAATTTGGATATCATATTGTTTTCTTTGTTGTGTTTTTATAAGAAAATACCATTGTATTGTGTTTTTTTCTAAAGTGTTTTCAAAACACCATGTTGAGTCTTTTCGGTTAACACTAGTTTGGCACATTATAATATTAGTATTAAACATATTATTAATATTTTGTATATTAATTATAATAAAATATATTATAAATAAATTATTATAATATTTATTTTACATTTATTATAATATTATATTGTAATTTACTAAATTATATTATAATAGAATTATTACATATTATTTTTAAATAATATATATTTAATTATTTTGGTATATCAATTTGCTATTGTTATATTATATAATCTGGCAATAAATTATTTTAGTATTAATAAATTATTTTACTTTATAATATATTATATTATTTATTAAAAAATGTATTAATATTATATATTATATTGCATTTACTATATAATATACTATTATATCATTATTATATTATGTTTTATCATTAAATATATTAATATTATACAACATTTTATAATTATTAATTTATTATTTATTATTTATTAAAAAAAGTAATAATATTATAGTGATTATAATATTGTATAATATATTATTATATTATTATTTATTATCATTATTTATTATTGGTTTTTACTAATTTATTTATATTTTATTATTATTTATTATTGTTGATGACAGTTATCAAATCAAAGTTATTTACGGATTAGTGTTAGGTTAGGGTCCTCAACCTTTTTCAGATAATTGGTCCGGGTACCTGCTGTTCTTTCCTACACACGAAGAACTCGTAAGAGGTCAGAGTTGGGTTCTCCGGTTATTTCTCCGACGATCAAGTCAGTATATGAACTTGAGTGGGAAAATGTGAGATGATGAAGAAAATTTCAAAGTTGCGTGAAAAAGCCAGAGGATTACCTTGAGCTGCATAACTTCCTTTTATAGTGGATCAGAAGGGCAAATAGGTAACTTGAGCCGAGTCCAGGTAAGCAGTTGACACGATAGACAGCTGACATGTGTCGACCGCTGGCGAAGATGAGTCATCCAGTAGTTTATTGTTGGGAAGACAGCTGGAGCTGACTGGATCTGATGAATGATAAAGACTATATGGGCTAGAGCAATAATGACTTTGTTAGAGCAGTTAATGCGAGGATAGTTGGTTGTCGACGGGGGGTTCAAGGACACACCGCCTCTCTAGCCATCCATCTGAAGGCTGACAGATACCGCCTTTCTAGTCGGCTACACGAGTTGTCGGCTGGAACAATAAGCCGAGTGCGAGTGCTCATAAAATCGATCTGGTGTGTAGGTCGACAAGTATCACATTTCTAGTCGGCTACACAAGTTGTCGGCTTACAGAATCAGCTGTAGGTACAACTCGAGTTATCGGTTTCTGGAATGATCTGATTAAGCATGGGGGTGGATACGTGTCGACTTCCCAACAGAGATTAATACTTGGTTAACTTGCAGCTATAATAATTATTATATCACTTTAACTATGTTATTATATGATACATTATCAGCATTAAATTTTAGTATTTAATATATTATTATATTATTCTTTAAGATATTTTAATTATTAATATATTTTATATTATTTAATAAATATTACTAATATATTAGATTAACTATAATATAGTACAATATAACATAATAAATATGTCAATAATGACTATGTATTACTTATATTTAACATATTATGTTATTATATTAACACATTCACAAATTCAAAACCAAAATACCAAACTCAAAACAACTAAAAAGCGTTTTGAAATAAGTATTGTGTTTTTTGTTTAAGGATAATTTAGCTTAAAAAACACCATGGTTTCCAAACGCGCGGTGTTTTGATAAAAACAACATGAAAATAAGAAAACAACATTGTATCCAAATGAAGCCTAAATTTTATAACCGACAATTTAACTAGCTAATTTCTGACTGACTAGGATCAAACTGTTGAATAGTTCCACAGCTATAAGGGAAAGTAACTTGTTATTCTTTAGTTACACTCTGGATGCCTTTTCAAATGATTTTTGATACATGCATATATATAGTGTCCCTGTTCACTCAAGCAGCCATATCTGCAGAACATGTAGATTTTTTTTTTAAATTATTGGAGGTGAAATGTAGTAAGCAAAATTGTTGGTGTATTTTGTTTAAAGAAAAGGGAGAAAATTTATTCCATTTTCTTTTTAATTTTATTAGTAACATTGAACATTCCCAATTCTCCCTCTATGTGTTCATAAAATGGTTGCCATGTTTCAGGAGATAATTAATTTGTATATATTCAAGCAAGGGAAACAAAAATATTAATAATAAACTAAAGGATAAAATTTCTCCAATTGCTCTTGACTATAATGTATATGAAGCCAAGAAACCTAAAATGATCTTCTTATTTTGTGAAGGTAGGGACAAAAGAAACAGATAAAACAAGGACCCAAGCAAGTTGAGCGAAGATTATGCTGTCCATGGGCACTAAATAATATTGTGAAATTATATGATTATAATTATATTAGAAGTTATTGTTGGATCTGAGATGCAAGCCAAGAGGAGGTCCAATTATGCTGTCCATGGGCACTAAATAATATTGTGAAATTATATGATTATAATTATATTAGAAGTTATTGTTGGATCTGAGATGCAAGCCAAGAGGAGGTCCAGGCACTAAATAATATTGTGAAATTATATGATTATAATTATATTAGAAGTTATTGTTGGATCTGAGATGCAAGCCAAGAGGAGGTCCA